AACAAGCTGTCAGCCAAAAATGCGGAGATGCTTATATTTATAAAGAAAAATCTGCCCTTGATGCAAGAAGCCAGCTACTAATCTACATTCTCTACATCACTGTTGCTCTCTCTACCTCTCTACATGCCCACAAAATCTGACTGAGCTTCTGAGAAAAAAGTAACTACTTCAGAATTTATTATTGATTCATGAGGCAGAAGCCATCATGATAGTGCAGCTGTGGTTCTGTTAGTTAACTGCCTTTCTTCTTGACATCCCAAGAGATGTGAACTTGCAATGGCTTGTTAGTCCTGCCCTGAGAATTGAGTTAAAGTTGTAGTTGATAGAAACAGATACAGATATGGAGATGCAAGTTTGTTATTTGTATTTTTCCTTTTTTGTTGCAGTTTTTAGTCTAAAGCTAGTCAAAGACTCTTTGTTCTGTTATTTTATTTATTTTTATGTAATCAACAGGAAAGTTGTATTTGTCAAGCTCCAAGCTGTTCCCAGTTACTAACCAAGGCAAGCACAGGCTGCTATGTTTTAAGTTGAAGTGTTACACATGTTTCTTGCCAATAAATGCAGTTGTCAATTCATGATATTCCTCTTCTTGTAATTTCAATACTTAATTTACATTGTTGTTAATGATACATGATAATCCCACAAGTAGACCCTGTAATCGGTGATCGGTATCGGACGATACAGCTTCTAGTGATCAGAGATCGGTGATCGGCCCCAAAAATCCTGATCGGAGCACCCCTATTTACTTTTTACATGTATTTCAAATGTGCCACCCCTCTCTGAGTCTGTGCTCCAGCACGGTTGCCCCATCCCAGATTTTCTAGAGCTGCCCACGCTGACCTGAGTGTTGTTGAAAATCTCATGTATGTGTAAGACTGCCTAAAAATATCTCAGAAGTTGAAGTGAAATGCAGGAGGAGTGAGTAAAAATGTATGTAATCAAGAATAGAAAGACTCTTAGCAGCTTCAGTGTTTGCAAGCTGTGATACCTAACGGGAGGGTTACTACAGTGGATGCACTACTGTCCAAACCTTTGTGAAAGCCATAATTACCCTTATTATAATTTGCTGTTGTGGTTGGGTTTTCTTTTTCGGTTTTTCATGACATAAAATGTAACAGTGCGCTAACATTTGAAGAAGGTCTGTTTGCCACAGGGGTTGTATTTAGTTCTTTTCACATCAAAAATCAAACTTGCATATAACTGCACATGCCTGTGTCCAAGGACCTGGGATATCACACAGGATATAGCTGTCCATTTTTATCAGTAATGCAGTTTAAAAAGTTTTTCCTCTTAGGTGAACCATCCACCAAAATCTTTGAATTGAACCATACAATTTGTTGCAAAATGCAGTACAGTGAACTTTTCATTTACTGTATACCATTTTATTCCTTGCTCAAACTGCAACACCAAATACCAGATTATCACCACTGTTTCAAACTGTTGGTTGCTGCCAATAATCCTCAGGCAATATAAACAGAAAAACACTGTGTCACTAGAAAAAATCTCTCCTTCTTCTGCTGCAGGAACTGGTGTCTGTGCGTCTCTCTGATGGGCGGACTGGAGACATGATGGTGCTGGGAAACGTCCAGCACAAACTGGTCTTATCTCCTGACTTCCAGGCTTTACTGAAACGGTCTACAACAACCCAGCAGCAGCAAGGACCCTGATCACCTTTCATCTACTTCTCATGTCCCAAAAAAATCTGACTCTTTGACACAAGTAAAGATTTATTTTGAATTCCATATAATTCTTCATCTGGTAGGACATGTTGTGTTACTCCACGAAGAGCTGACTGTGGAGGAATAATCACAAGTAGTCTGTTCTCCAGGCTTCAGTAACCTGTTTATAATGATAATAACAATAAGAAGAAGAAGAATACAATTGAAATCATGTGACAGGAAAACAACCTGTCAGAACTGAACAATTGTGTTTCTCTCTCAAGGGTGAAGACAGCCAGAGGAGGAAATAGTGTCAAATTCAACCCACTGGGGTACAAAGACTCAGTCATTTACTGTTACCTGAGCACTGATTATCTATCTACGGGTGGGCAACTTCCCTGAGAGGAAAGCCATCAGTTCTGTACACACCAGCAAAGCAGCTGACGTGACTGTGAGCTACAGACCAACTGAAAAAGACAACACAAGGTCCATCACAGTATCTACATGGAAGAGATCAAAGGTCAGTGCACAGGGTCAGTGGACAATTAGAGAAGGATCTGACACCAGAGACCATGTTTGAACAGGTAACAGACATTACCATCATGTGACAGAGGTTGCAGACTTTCATGACTGGGTGACTTAGTTTAACTTTTAGGTGCTTTGATACTGAACTTTCCTACATGTTGTTATAACTCAGTGTATCTGGATTGTGTTCATATGATGTATAGTTGTAGACTTGTCTCTCACTGTGTAATATTCTGGATTCTGTAGGCTAAAAGGTGCACTAATGATGTGCATGATGCATATGGAATTGTCTATCTTGCTGCCTTAAAGGACAGTGCCAGTCATTTTCTGCATTTTTACTATGTCTGTGCAGATTCTCAGTCATCCAGGTCATAGTGAACTGAAAAAATCAACTGGACTAGATTTCTAGGTCGAAGACGTTTCACCTCTCATCCAAGAGGTTTCATCAGTTCTGACTGACTGGTGTTGAGCCGGAGATATTTATCGCCCTTGGTGGTGTTTCAGTCCTTTGATGCCCAACAATGTCCCCTAATGACTGAGTCGTTATAGCCCAGGATCGGTGAGAGTCGTTACCTGTCTTTGAATCTTCCCCTGTCGACCGACGCCTATTGTCCTGGTGGGCATGTTTGGGCAGAGATCTCAAAACAGGATTGTAGATGGATGACAAGTTGTGTCTTAGTCCACCACCCCTATTTAGTGAGGGATGTTCTATTTTTATAAAAATAGCTTCCTGGACTCCTCTCTCAAACCAGTGATGTTCTCTGGAAAGGATCTGGACTACACTGTCCTCAAAAGAATGTCCTTTGTCCTTCAGGTGGAGGTGGACTGCTGACTCTGGTCCACTGGAGTTGGCCCTCCTGTGTTGGGCCATGTGTTTGTGAAGCGGCAAAGTTAACTGGGATATTGTGGTTGTGAAATATCCTTTTTAACTTCTCTGATAAACCAGCCACATAAGGGATGACAGTGTTATCCCCTCTTGTTTCTGGTTTCTCCCTATTGGTGTTGGGCCTCTTCCTAGCTTTGGTGAAGGTCCACTTAGGGTATCTACAAGCCCTAAGGGAGTTCTGGATGTGTAATTTCTCCTTCTTGGCCCCCTCTGCAGTTGTGGGCACTTTCTCTGCCCTGTGATTTAAAGTTCTGAAGACTCCCAGTTTGTGCTGAAGTGGATGGGGTGAGTCAAAAAGCAGGTATTGGTACATGTGTGTAGGTTTCCAATATACTTCTACTTTCAGGATTGTGTCCCCTCCCAAGTGGACTGCACAATCCAAAAAGGCCAGACAGTCATCTCTGGCATCCTCATGAGTAAATTTTATGTTCTCATCCACAGAGTTGATATGCTTGGTGAAAGCCTCTACCTCCTGGGTCCTGATTTTAACCCATGTGTCATCCACGTAGCAGAAACCAAGACTGCTCCCAGCCACTGGTTACAGATCTTTGTTGTTGTTCAAAAACAATTAAAAACACATCAAGAAAACACAGTGCTGCACTGGGTGACAGGTTTTTTCATTATGAAGCCCCAGACCCAACTATGTTGCCCCAAAAGCTCCCGAGTGTCCACAATTTTCTGAAGTTAGCACATGTCAGAGTCAACTGTGCATGTGGGAGAGTTTGTTTGAGCTCTCAGCTTTGTTTACATTCTGCTAGCTTGTTACACTTGGGTATGAGATTTACTAATGAAGAAATATGTCACACAGTGTTGTGTTTCACTGATGTGTTTTTAATTGTTTTTGAACAACAATGGAGGTTTACAGCACAGACAAATAAGCTGATCCAGGACTGATAACATTGAGTAGAGGCAATTCATTGTTGGTTTTAGTCTCTGTATGGGGATTGTTAAAATGCTATTAATATAGAAAATTGACAGGCCTTATCCTTTAAACTACAAGTGCCTACAAATTGTATTTACTGGGGTATACTGTATATAGTTACTTTTCACCACTGTACACTTCTGTGCACCCCACTGATTCTGACAAAATGTTATACTTTTCTCTTTTATGGAGTTGCTCTTACAGAGCAATTTAAGAGCAGCTGTGAATCCATATGTTGCTGATCTCCTGTGGCTGAAGGTGTCAAAGTAAAGCACTGTAGAAGTTTTTATAACTGCAGACCAGATTCCGAAGTTCAGTTTGTTGCACTTTCTGATGATTTTTTTTGTGAAAAACAGGCTTTCAGAATTATTACAGTACAATATAAAACAAAGTAAACAAAAAGAGTAAAATGTTGGATTCTTATGACTTTTCACATGTTTACTTTAAGTTTTAATGTATGTGTATATATATATATATATGTATGTATGTGTGTATGTATGTGTGTATGTGTATATATATATATATGTATGTATGTGTGTGTATGTATGTGTGTGTGTGTGTGTGTGTGTGTATCCCCAACTTGCTGGTTTCAGGATTCACACAAGTAAAAAAGCCAGTCAGAGAAATTAATCAAAATATCATGACTCCGTGGCTAAGTGAAGCCTGAAATACAGAGTCTCCTGACATCAACACGGCGAAAGGTGACGACGAAAGCTGAGTTCTCAAAATAATATGTGTTCGTCTTATACTTGCATGTGATTTTTACTTTGTCAGTGTGTGCACGGCAGATATTTCAACGCTGGAGCCTGAAAAGGCTCGGCCGCTGTGCCCCACCGCCCCCTAGTGCGCATGTGCAGGGGACCCCAGAACGCAGAAGCAACCCCGGAAGAAAAACAAATTTGCCGTGTACGCCAGGCGAATAACTTTCAGTGGGGAAAATAAATAGAATAAATGAATGTAATGTATTAATGTTATAAAAAAACGTTCTCACAATACAAATATTAAAAAAATCTCCCACCTTTTCTCCTTAATACATTCGTGGGAAGAATGGTCTCCATCTTGTGATTCGGTATCCAGCTGTTACAATATATTAATAGGACAAGGGTTGAATTTAGTTTGTTATAATCCGTCCTGTTGGTGTTTGTGTCTGCTTTGGCACCATGAAGATAAACGAGAACATTACTGGAGGGACACAAAGTTGTGTTGGTTCCTTACAATGCAAACCACGTGGCCAGGTAACGTTAACATTAACACCTGATGAGTGTTGTTACACACACAAAGCCTGTCACTTTGTCTCTTATTTTCCTCTGCTGATATCTTGCAATGTCATTTCTTTACTATCAATGTTTAAACATGGCGGATGCGTTTTATTCTGACTTCTAAATAAGTCTGCAACTAATAATAATGTTGAGAAAACAATCTCATCACAAGTTCCATTTAGTAGCTTTTCTGGAGCCTTCAATCGTATCATACAGTCTCATTTGTCATGAAGCATTTGAAAGCTTTTTGTCCAGGCTGACACAGGGTGGAGAAATAACTTAGGACAGATGACACATCTGGCCCAGCTGTCAATACAAGCTTTTGATCCTTTGACAGTCTGAAGTCTCTCTAACTGGCACAGCAGAACCAGCTCCAGTCCTTTGGCATCTGGATACATGACTAAGTTAAAGCTGTAGAAACCTGCAGCCCCGTCTCTTATCCACCTGTTTACACTCTTCAGGTATCATGAATGGATTCACTTTAAGGTCACAACAAAACCCAACAAACTTAAGAAACTGTAGCATTTAATGAGGACACTGTCACTGTCCCGCTGACGAGTTACAGCAAAGAAACAGTAGCAATAAATGGTTTACGAGTGAAAGCTGTCCCAGGCAATCTATCAAATGGATATATTGTTCCATCCTTGCACTATGACACCAAAGTGTTGACTAAAGTCCTTTCTAAGATTCATTCAGGTCCTTATATAAGCATAATATTATGCTATGAAAATTTACAGTCAACATATAGTCCACCATTTTGCAGTATCTCCTCAGAAAATGAGCTGCTGTGTGAAAGGATGTGGATGTTCTCCTTTAGTTCCTTTTTAGTGCTCTAAAAAGTAGATAGCTTGGACTTTCCTAAATAAACAAATTTTAAATTTGCACCCAAAAGCAGACGGGGTGATTTATGAGCTGCGGGTAAATGTACAATGTGTACAATTTTAAGAGAAGGAATGAATTTCTGTAGTGATGATGCAGTGATGATCATGTAGTGATGATAGGGTGACTCACTATCATGGGGCCCCCATCAGCTTAGGCCTATAGCAGCATAACTAAGGGAAGGCTCAGGGTCACCTGATTCAGCCCTAACTATAGGTCAAAGTGTTTATTTGTCATATGTACAGTTAGGAAATGTCTTTCCCTGTACAATGAAATTCTTACCACATTCCACATGAATGCCACAAAATACAAGTAAGGGAGTAACACAAAATCTAAGGCACTTTAAGCAGCAAATGCAGCAATATAACAAAAATATATAAGAATATAATAAGAGAATGTATGCTGCATGGGAGCAGCATGTGCAGCAGTCAACAGTCAATGTGCAATTTTGCATGTGCAAACTGAGAATGTAAACAGTACAGGTCGACACCCTCTCCACTTCAAGCCCCCGGATGAACAGTGGCCAATGAGATCTCCTCTCCTTCCTCATGTCCACTATCATCTCCGTCTTGTCCGTGTTGAGGCTGAGATTATTGTCCTTGCACCATGACACCAGACCGGCCACCACCTCTCTCCTGTAGGCTGCTTCGTCCCCGCCAGTGATGCAACCTATCACTGCAGTGTCATCCGCAAACGTTAGGATGATGTTGTCTTTGTGGGAGGCAACACAGTCGTGGGTGAAAAGGGGGTAGAGGATGGGACTGAGGACACATCCTTGTGGGGTGCCAGTGTTTGGAACAATGCTGGCTGAAATCCTATTGCCAATCCTGACAGTCTGGGGCCTGCCAGTCAGAAAGTCCAGGAGAC